TTGCTATTTTGTTGATACTTGCTTCTCTTGTACTCTTGTTCTTTCAGTCAACATTTTAATGAAGTTATTTACAGATTTTCTCAGGCATGTAAAATCCATTAACCATCTACATATCTGTTTTACCTTTATGATTTCAATGCCTTTTAATTTCAACTGTTTTTTTGAGGAGTTTCTGCTCTTTCTGAAAATTCTGAATTCCAAAGAGAATGGATAATTAATCCTTAATAAGTAACTCGGTATCTTAGTTTTCTTAAAGAAACTTATTTAGATTGCAGATCTTTCAATTAGCATATTATGTTGTCATTGCTTATAAAATCTACCTTTAGTGGACGCAAACGAGAATTACTTTAAAAACATATATGGAGAGGTTAGATTTTATACCTAGTACATAAACCTCTTGATTCAAAACATTGGACAAAAATACCATAAGTTGAAATTGAGTTGTCTTTCACTGAAGCCAATTCTCCAGCAGTATCAGTAGTAGAACTCGGGCTCTTTACCACTCCAGTCTGTTGCTCTAATAAGCAACATGGGTGTGTACAGGTGAGAGTTTCATACAGTTAGCATTCATTCCTAGGGCTACATATTCTAAACCTTTCTAACTCAACAAAAGCAGAGTATGCAAACATCCTACACAGTGCACAACTACAGATAGTTGATGAATAAATGTCAGGAGCTAAACATAACTAGAGAAATCTGCAGAACAAAAAAGAGACAAAATCGTAAAAGGGCTAGATCTGGAAAAAAACATTCATGAAGATCATGGATTTTAGAGTTTAGACCCCTGATTCATCTCTACTTACGCATAATCTGTTTTGGAACCCATGGCACATGCCACTATTTCCAGTAACTGATCCAAAATTGAGTTCCATCCTGGAATGTTGTGGTTTCCAAATACTAAATTGTTTACCAGATACAGAACAATACAGATTTTTCATCAACTTACCCAGGCCTCTTCTGACCACCATTTCCTTAGTATCCTAACAAGAAATTCTGAATTTCTCTTACTGGTATATAAGCTCACAGGATGACGTGAATTTGTCTTCTTTCTCACTGAGGAGATTTCTCTGCTTTCCCATGCCCTGCATCATTCTTTCATCCCTAGGGCCTGATCTTTCCATTTCCTGTGGGGTAGATGCTTGGCCCAAATGTGTGTAATTATGAAGTTTCCCTTGGGATCTGGGGTGGTGGGAGGGGATAGTTCTTGGTGCCTGGTGCACACAGTTTGTGTCTCAGGAGAAGAATCATAGAAAACAATTAACTGAGCATTTGTCAAAAATACTGGCACGTGCACATGTCTTTTAACTCCCCAAAGATTTGCCTTCTGCTTTGCTAACCTCAGGATACTGGCCAGCCAGATGGAAAGACTGCCAAGCACATCCAGCTAATGTAGCCAGAAGGCCACTCCATTTGAGTTTCTGGAAATCATTCTTTCACTCACTTGGGAGGTTCTGGGGCCTCTTTATTTCCTCACAAACAAGGCCCACCCCAAAGATTTCAAGAGCACATTGCAGCCCAGTCTCTACAAGTGAACAAGCTGTAAGAGTTGGAAATCCGCAGCTCCTCTCCTGCTCTATTTAAGGCAATGCATTTTTTTTCCCAGCAACATAGGTTTACAGCCTCCCAAGATCCTTCTCATGAAAGGCAATAGAATGCAGTATCAAGTTAAGATGAGCGATTAGTGAAATCTGTAGCTACTGAGAATGAGGTTCCCAGTTGAGTATTAGAAGCAACCACAGAAGGTGAGGGTTTGCCTCTTTTCCATCTGTTGTCAGAACTAATGAAGAGAAGCAGAAGGCATTGGTTTCCTTCTCAAATTCCCAACTCCGCTTCTCACTTGCCAGTAATGATGCACTGTGTAGGGGACGAATCTTCACTCCCGTATCTCTTCCCTTGTTTTGGTGGTGGGCTGGCCACATCCAGAAGGGAAAGAGAAGTGAAATTCTCTGAATGTAGATAAGTGGGCAAGGTTCTACCGAGGTCAGTCTTTGAGCAGGAGAGCTCCTTTACCTGCAGCACCTCGCCAGAATGTTTGCAAGGCAACGACATTGATATGAAAATAAACCCCATCTTTCACTCTGCACTTTTCTCCTTCTTGCCTCAGATTAAAATGCTCCCTTTTTAAAAAAAATCAAGCAAATACAATAAAGATAAAAAAGTGACAGAAATTTAGTAGAAAAAAATTTATACTTAACTCTTCTTCCTCCCCACCCCTTCCATTCCTTAAATTGGAAACAATACTTCAGTAATGATCTTTCTAATATATAAATGTAACCATATCACTTTCTTGTTTTAAAATCTACAACTGTTATTTAAAGTCAAGTTAATGGTCTTTAGCATAATACTCCCCCATAACCTCCACCCCTGCCAAACTCAAGCCATGCTGAATTATTGCAGCTCCTTAAATCATCAGGTACCTTTAGAGTTTCCACACCTGCACACAAGCCACTCCCTATACTTGAAATGCCTTTATTTCACTGGTCTTGCAAAACTGCTAATTTAAAATGCCATTCAGATGTCCCTTTCATTTGAAAATCTTCTCCAATTCTACCAAGAATAGCACTTGCTCTCTTTGCACCATGGAATTGTGTGTGTATCTCTTTTACAACATGATGTTATATTGGTTTTGTTACTGCTGTTTACTTGCATGTCCCTCCTGGTGGACTGATGTCTTTGGGGGCAGGGGTTTTGTGTTCCTGTCACATTAACCCCAAGGTTTCTGAATGACTGCAGTGTAGTAGGTTCATTACACAGTTGCAGAATGAATGGACAAAATTGGTAAATATAACTCAACTTTATATATATGTCCTCATTTTCTAAATTCTCACCTTAAGAAAGATGCTTTTTCCTCCTTTTCCACATTTTGTTGAAGTAGTACAGTCTTTCATCTCTTCTCCTTATTCCTATTTTAAATTATTGATTTTATAGTTTTTTGGAAAAGAAGGTATTTGGCACAGCATCCTTCTCTCCACTGTCACCATCATGGCTAAATTCTCCTATCAGATCCAGAGACCTCAGCTTCTGTCAAGCAGCCTTCTTTCAGGGCCGCAGCACTCCCTGGGGTCTGTGCTCCCTCTTATTAATTGCCCTGGGGCCCAAGAGTGAAGAACACTTCCCTTTATGACCAATCCCTTGGTTATTCTCCCTTCAAATGTGTAAACAGTCCCTTCATTAAATGTGATTTACCCTTTGAATGAGCCATTTCTTTCCTGCCTCAACCCTGACTGATACTGTGGTCAACAAATAATAATAATTGACTTACTATTTATTAATTAATCTCTTAATTTATAAACAAAAATAGGGATTTATTTCACCAAGTTATATCATATCCACAGTGATATCTGTGGGAGTCAGGAGGCAAAGTCTTGAAAATATGTAGTGAGCGCAGAGAAATATTCTCCATTGAAGTTGAAATTTGTATTTTCAGACTTTCCTGTTATATACATTTGTCACTCATGCAACAAATGTTTATTAATCACCACTTTCTCTTTATTCTTATCTTTCAATTTTTTGTCTTATCTTTTCCCTTTGCCACGTGAGAATATTCTTAAATCATAAGTCAGAAAACTTTTAACTACTGGCTATGTAATTAGGCAAGTCTCTGGACCTTGGTTTCTTTATCTATGAAATGGGGAGGATAATACCTCTTTTAAGAACCCACAGAGCTGCTGAGTAAATCAAATAGAACAGTTTTATATACAATCTATAATTACGTTTACTACTTTTATTGTTTTTGCTGTTTTCATGTTTTTAATTTTTGATGTCTTTCCTTAATAGTGCTTTTTTTAAAAAATTCTTTTTCTTTCTGCTGTTTTGGGTTTTCTTCCCTTTCCATGATATTCTTTTCATGCTCCTTTTCCACAAGTGCCACTCTCTTGACTAGTCTTTTGGAAATACCCCGAAAGACCAGTTATTCTATACCTCAGCTCCTTTGGGACTGTCCTATTCCTTTTTCTCTCTTGCCTTGGTGACTTTCTTAAAAGCATGTTTAAAAAAATATTCCCTGTGGTAAAAGGATAAAAATTCTAGAGAAATATAAACTTGGACTTAGACTGAAACAGATATATAATTGTCCTTTGTTGAAATGGTTTGGCTCTGTGTCCCCAATCCAAATCTCATCTTGAATTATAATCCCATAGTACCCATGTGTCAAGGACAGGACCTGGTGGGAGGTAACTGGAATCATGGGGGGCGGTTCCCCTATGCTGTTCTTGTGATAGTGAGTTCTCACAAGATCTGATAGTTTTATGTGTTTAACATTTCCTCCTACATACACTTTTTCTCTCTAGCCGCCATGTGAAGAAGGTATCTGCTTCTCTTTCCTTCATAACTGTAAGTTTCCTGAGGCAATCCCAGCCTGGTGAAAACCTTCTCTCTTGATAAATTAGCCAGTCTTGGGTATTATCTTTATACCAGTGTGATAATGGACTAACAGATTTGTTTTGTGCTTTTTGAGACTAAGGTTCATAGTGAATATCAGAAAGGTTTCTAGGGTTCAATTGATCACAGCCTGAATAGTCTCTTCTTATGCTACTCTTGTAATTAGTGGTATAATAACACCACCAAGGTATGGTCTGTTTTCTCTCACAGCTGACACTGAGATCAATGCTCTCTCCACTGCACCACATTGTATCTGCAGAAGTTTTCAGTGTTGCTCTTTTATGAGATGGTCTCTTAAATTAACTCATAGGATGCACAGAATTTGCATCACTCTTGGTTAATATCTACTTTCCAGTGACTTAGTTGTTTATTTTTAAAAGTTACTCTTAGCTCCTTAAGGATGTGGAAAAACTCCATGAAGGAAGAAGTGAATGCAGCACTGAAAGAACAACTTTTTTCAATCTTAACTTTAAAGTCATTTGTATTATTTTTATTAAATAATTCAAAGTTGAAATGATTTGTCTATATACATGTTTTAATTATTTTGTAGTGTGTGGCATGTATTCATAAAATATTAGTTTAAGAAACCAAATATAAGATAGACTGAGTTACTGGCTTACCTTCGGGTTCACATAGGAATCACAACCAGGATACAGTTCTTAAGAATCTTAGTTGACACCAGAGATTGTCATTACCCAGGGTCTCTCCTTGGAGGGAACTTGGTGCACTGAAAATGGAGATCATGAAGGCATCAAAGAATGCTCAGACAATCCCTTGAGAAGCATTGTAATAGTACTTTTCTTATAAAGTGTGAGCATTTATAAGAGAACTTCATGAAATGATCGTTATGGTGCTTTATTCGGGGCTCTTTAGCATCATCATCGGAAGTGGTGCTTTAATAGAAAAGCAAACAAACAAAAATCACCTGAGCTGATGAAAACAACTATGGAAGCATCTGGTACAGTATCTTAGCAGAGAGGAAGTATTAATTACCTCTTCATTCATGGAAAGAAAGAAGGAAAAAGGGGAAGGAGAGAGAGAAAAGATGGGAAAGGCTTTTAAAAACAGATGATATATACTAGAGGCTGGGAAGCATGAGTGGGTGGGTGAAGCAAGGATGAAGAGAGGTAGGTTAACAGGTGCAAACATACAGTTAGATAAAAGGTACAACTTCTGTTGTTCAACTGCAGAGTTGAGCAACTATAGTTACAACAATGCATTATATATTTCAAAATAGCTAGAAGAGAGTAGCTTGAATTGTTCCCAATATATAGAAAAAATAAATAATCAAGTGATAAATACCCCAAATATCGATCATTACACAACCTATGTATGTAACAAAATACAACATCTACCTCCATTAAAATGTAAAATACTATGTATCAATAAAAAGTAAAAATACAAAATTAAAAGCAGATTTTAACAGGCAAAATAACCAGCTAGCATCATAATGACAGGATCAAATTCACACATAACAATATTAACCTTAAATGTAAATGGGCTAAATGTCTCAATTAAAAGACACAGACTGGCAAATTGGATAAAGAATCAAGACCCATCAGTGTGCTGCACTCAGGAGACCCATCTCATATGCAAAGACACATATAGGCTAAAAATAAAGGGATGGAGGAATATTTACCAAGCAAATAAAAAGCAAAAAAAAAAAAAAAAAAAAGCAGGGGCTGCAATCCTAGCTTCTGATAAAACAGACTTTAAACAAACAAAGATCAAAAAAGTCAAAGAAGTGTATTACATAATGATAAAGGAATCAATACAACAAGAAGAGCTAACTATCTTAAGTATATATGCACCCAATACAGGAGCACCCAACTTCATAAAGTAGGTTCTTACAGACCTACAAAGAGACTTAGACTTCCACACAATAATAGTGAGAGACTTAACACCCTGCTGTCAATATTAGACAGATGAGTAAGACAGAAAATTAACAAGGATATTCAGGAATTGAACTCAGCTCTAGACCAAGCAGACCTAATATACATCGACAGAACTCTCCACCCCAAATCAAATTCTTCTTAGCACCACATCACATTTATTCTAAAATTGACCACATAATTGGAAGTAAAACACTACTCAGCAAATGCAAAAGAACGGAAATCATAACAAATAGTCTCTCAGACCACAGTGCAATCAAATTAGAACTCAGGATTAAGAAACTCACTCAAAACCACACAACTACATGGAAACTGAACAACCTGCTCCTGAATAACTACTGGGTAGATAATGAAATTGAGGCAGAAATAAAGAAGTTATTTGAAACCAATGAGAACAAAAATATAACATACCAGAATCTCTGAGACAGGGCTAAAGCAGTGTTTAAAGAGAAATTTATAGCACTAAATGCCAACAGGAAAAAGCAGAAAAGATCTAATATTGACACCCCACCCTAACACCACAATTAAAAGAACTAGAGAAGCAAGAGCAAACAAATTCAATGGCTAGCAGAAGACAAGAAATAACTAAGATCAGAGTAGAACTGAAGGAGATAGAGACAAGAAAAGCCCTTCAAAAAAATCGATGAATCCAGGAGCTGGTTATTTGAAAAGATCAACAAAATAGCTAGACTATTAGCTAGAAGAATAAAAAAGAAAAGAGAGAAGAATCAAATAGACCCAATCAAAAATGATAATGTGGATATCACTACTGAGCCCACAGAAATATGAACTAACATCAAAGAATACTATAAACACCTATATGCAAATAAACTAGAAAATCTAGAAGAAATGGATAAATTCCTGGACACATACACCCTCCCAAGACTAAACAAGGAAGAAGTTAAATCCCTGAACAGATCAATATCAAGTTCTGAAATTGAGGAAGTAATTAATAGCCTACCAACCAGAAAAAGCCAAGGACAAGAAGGACTCATTGCTGAATTCTACCAGAGGCACAAAAAGGAGCTGGTATTGTATTCCTTCTGAAACTATGCCAAACAACAGAAAAAGAAGGACTTCTTCCAACCTCATTTTATGAGGCCAACATCATCCTGATACCAAAACCTGGTAGAGACACAACAAAAAAAGAAAAATTTGGGACAATAACTCTGATTAATTTTGATGTGAAAATCCTCAATACTGGCAAACAGAATCCAGCAGGACATCAAAAAGTTTATCCACCATGATAAAGTTGGCTTCATATCTGCAATGCAAGGCTAGTTCAACATACGCAAATCAATAAACATAATCCATCACATAAACAGAACCAAAGACAAAAACCTTATGATTATCTCGACAGATGCAGAAAAGGCCTTTAATAAAATTCAATATCCCTTCATGCTAAAAACTCTCAATAAACTAGGTATCAGTAGAACATATCTCAAAATAATAAGAGCTATTTATGACAAACCCACAGCCAATATCATACTGAATGGGCAAAAGCTGGAAGCAATCCAGCTTTGAAAAATGGCACAAGACAGGGATGTCCTCTCTCACCACTCCTATTCAACATAGTATTGGAAGTTCTGTCCAGGGCAATCAGGCAAGAGAAAGACATAAAGGGTATTCAAATAGGAAGAGAGGAATTCAAACTGTCTCTGTTTGCAGATGACATGATCGTATATTTAGAAATCCTCATCATGTCAGTCCAAAATCTCAAGCTGATAAGCAACTTCAGCAAAGTTCAGGATAAAAGATCAATGTGCACAAATTACAAGCATCCCTATACAACAATAATAGACAGAGAGCCAAATCAAGAGTGAACTCCCATTCACAATTGCTACAAAGAGAATAAAATTCCTAGGAATACAACTTACAAGGGATGGGAAGGATGTCTTCAAGCAGAACTACAGACCACTGCTCCAGAAAATAAGAGAGGACACAAACAAATGGGAAAACATTCCATGCTCATGGATAGGAAGAATCAATATTATGAAAATGGCCATACTGCCCAAAGTAATTTATAGATTCAATGCTATCCCAATCAAGTTACCATTGACATTCTTTACAGAATTAGAAAAACTACTTTAATTTCATATGGAACCAAAGAAGAGCCTGTATAGTCAAGACAATCCTAAGCAAAAAGAACAAAGTTGGAGGCATCATGCTACCTGACTTCAATCTATACTACAAGTTTACAGTAACCCCAACTGCATAGTACTGGTACCAAAACAGATATATAGACCAATGGAACCGAACAGAGCCCTCAGAAATAATGCCACACATCTATAACCATCTGATCTCTGACAAACCTGACAAAAACAAGCAATGGGGAAAGGATTCCCCATTTAATAAATAGTGTTGGGAAAACTGGCTAGCCATATGCAGAAAACTGAACCAGGACCCCTTCCTTATACCTTATACAAAAATTAACTCAAGATGGATTAAACACTTAAACATAAGACCTAAAACCATAAAAACCCTAGAAAAACCTTGGCAATATCATACAGGATAGGCATGGGCAAAGACTTCAAGATAAAAAACCAAAAGCAATGGCAACAAAAGACAAAATTGACAAATGGGATCTAATTAAACCAAAAAGCTTCAACATAGCAAAAGAAACTATCATCAGAGTAAACAGGCAACCTACAGAATGGAAAAAATTTTTTGCAATCTATCCATCTGACAAAGGCTAATATCCAGAATCTACAAGGAACTTAAACAAATTTACCAAAAAAAAAAAAAAAAAAAAAAAAAAAAAAAAAAAAAAAAAAAAAAACAAAGAAACAAACCATCAAAAAGTGGGCAAAAGATAGGAACAGACACTTCTCAAAAAAAAAAAAAAAAAACATTTATGTGTCCAAGAAACACATGAAAAATAGCTCATCATCACTGGTCATTAGAGAAATGCAAATCAAAACCACAATGAGATACCATCTCATGCCAGATAAAATGGTGATCATTAAAAAGTCAGGAAACAACAGATGTGGGAGAGGATGTGGAGAAATAGAAATGCTTTTACACTGTTGGTGGGAGTGTAAATAAGTTCAACCTTTGTGCAAGACAGTGTGGTAATTCCTCAAGGATCTAGAAATAGAAATACCATTTGACCCAGCATTACTGGGTATATACTCAAAGGATTGTAAACCATTCTACTATGAAGACACATGCACACATACGCTTATTGCAGCACTGTTCACAATAGCAAAGACTTGGAACCAAGCCAAATGCCCATCGATGATAGACTGGATAAAGAAAATGTGGCATATATACACCATGGAATACTGCACAGTCATAAAAAAGGATCATTTCATGTCTTTTGCAGGGACACGGATGAAGCTGGAAACCATCATTCTCAGCAAACTAACACAGGGACAGAAAATCAAACACCACATGTTCCCACTCATGAGTGGGAGTTGAACAATGAGAACATGGATACAGGGAGGGGAACATCGCACATCAGGGCCTGTTGGGGGATAGGGAATTGGGAGGGATAGCATTAGGAGAAATACCTAATGTAGATGACCAGTTGATGGGTGCAGCTAACCACCATGGCACACGTATACCTATGTAACAAACCTGCACATTCTGCACATGTATCCTAGAACTTAAAGTACTTAAAGTATTAAAAAACAAACAAACAAAACAACACAAAAACAGAAAATGGACCTAAATTCAAGTTGCTTCATGTTTCAAATAGAATGTAAATAGAATATTTGGGTCTCTGCAAATCATTTTATTTGTAGAATTTGTGATTTACACTTGGAGTAACATTTTGAATTTAACTTTGGGGAGTTATTGAAAAACGTATTTATATTGGGCTTTCTTCTCATAC